TTTCGATCATCAGAAGGCGAATTCATAGATACTAAACATGGTAGGATTACATATAGGCAGGATGACAGGAATGGGTTCCATCATAAGCATGCATAAAATAGTCTAAAAATATCAAAGACAACATACACCATGACCTGAAGGATACACTGTCCATTCAAAGAAAGTTTTTCCTATGAATTAATTAGTAGAAAAGTCAATTTCTACTGTGCCTTGTGCCTCTTGCGATGGAACATGCAGTGATTTTCCCTGCTTCGCATTCCATTAGGTCATAAATGTATCTGGTGTCAGGGTTGCCATGGTAACCAGGGCCCTGGGCCCTGTTCACAGACAACTTGGCACCCAGTATGTTTATTGGGTGAGGGGTCTGTGAACATTTGTTAATCTAATGAATAATTGATTTGTTAAATCAAATGAAAAATGGTGTGTCTGATTGGCCAGACGCTACAGACCATACTAGACCGCATTGCCATTTGCATCCTTCTTGGATTTGTAAAGGTACATTGACAAAACATAAATGGGTGATCTTGTAGGTTATTGTCCTTGAAAGCTGTAGTAGAATTTGTTTAGTTCAGACTGGCAAAGTGAGTGCAGATGCTTTTCAGAGGAGTTTTCTGCAATACGTGTACTGCAAATAAAATGTTCAGTGTGACGGTAATTCCATGACTCTTCATGTGTGAACTTACAGGCTATCCGAATGGATTCACAGGGGTCCAAGGCCCTCATCAGTCTACTTAAGAGAAGACTGCAAGACCTCAGACTCAAACAGCAGACTGTAGCATGCACGTACAGAGGCATTCTCGAACCAACTCCTAGGCTGGTGGAAGAGGAGGAAGGGGAAATGGAGGAAGAAATGGACTGGCAACATGACATCAGCTCTGAGGATGAGGATGATGATGCAGAGGTGGGGACTCAAGTCAGACTCAAGTCACAGTTGTAATTGCTTTTGCTTTGACTTGTACTTTGATGACTTGGGAAAGGTTTCTAAAGTCTTGACAAAAGAGCCTGTGTTTTTATAAATGAGTTATAACGAAAGTGATGAGATTTGTTCCAGCAGACAACTGAATTTAAATGGAATGATTGAATTTATTGAAGTTGAATCTGATTTATAGAAATATGCATTTGCTTACTTGGTTTGTCATACATGCTGTTTTACACTGCTGTAATTATCAGTAGCCATAGCCAGATTTTAGTATTGTTTCTTTTGTGCAAAAACCTTGTATATCCAGTTTTGGTAATTAGAATTTATAGTTTGCACGGTCCTCCGTTTTCTCTCACACATGGGCCCATGAGAATTATTAAATGCTTTTTTCCTAACTTCTGAAACATCTATCATAATTAGTGCTGTCAAACGATTAATCACATCCAAAATAAAAATTTTGTTTACATAATATATGTGTGTTCTGTGTATATTTATGTATATATAAATACACACACATACAGTATATATTTTTAAAATATTTACATGTGTATATACATCAATATATTTATTTATATTTTATATTCTATAAATTTATATATCTACATAACATATTTTTCTTAAATGTATACATGTATGTGTTTTTTTTATATATACATAATAAATATACACATTATGTAAACAACTTTTATTTTGGATGCGATTTAATCACGATTAATTGATTGACCGCACTAATCATAATATGTAGAATTGTACATTTGCTCTGACTCCGTATCATCAGTTTGTTTATGCACATCAATATATAAAAATTATCTGCTCTGTCATATGCATAGCATCTATTTGTTATCCGTATTTGACTACAGATGCTCTTACATTCTACTCTCTTTTGTGTTACTGGAATTGTAATTACTCATAGTTATGTATGCAACTGATAATGTCTGTAAATACTTGCTGATACCTGTGTATATATGTGTATGTAAACAGAAATACAAGTTTAATTTGTCATCAGACTATTGAGTTGACTTTGGCTCATCGCTCGTCAACCCTTAACAGAACTGGGAGCTTTCAGATTCAACCTGAACTACTAACATTCACAGTCACACCAGGTCTCCTATTAAGATAGATGTGCGAAACTTACATACTGTACACAGATACTGGCAGTGTAACATACTTCAATACTGATGATGTAGAACCATTGTAGAGGCTTGTCTAAATATATACAAACCATACAGTTAACCACGTTATACCGATGAT